GTGGTTGAGTTCTGGGAGTGTGTATGTGCAAGCTATAGCTGGGCCTAGCTTGTTTGAAGATTCCTTACAGCACCTTTAACTTCTGCTTCAGCAATAACTTTTTCATTTCACACACATGGAGTTAAATTTTCTTTTGTTTGTAGCTGAGAGTCCTTCAAAAAACACATTTTCTCCTGTTTTACTTTTAGGGTTGCCATGTTCTGGGGGAAACAAGGATTAGTGCTACTTAATATTTGACCAAAATGCCTTAAGCTCAGTGTTTTGTTCAGCATACGATTATTTTAGTCTATAACTGGACAAGATATATGTGCCTTCAAAGGATGTTGGACATTTAATTCCAAAAATTTTGTCTCTTCATGATGAAACTGTAATGATTTATGCACTGGGCTAATTAATCTATAACAAATTCTAACATAAGACTGTTTTCAATTAGACCAGGCTGCTAAATGGAAATGAAGACAGCCTGGAGTAGAGGTCTGCACTCAGAGGCAGGCTCATTGAAAAATAAACAAAAAGCTAAGGGAATGGAGCTTACAGGTAGAGATGGGGAATGCATTAACACCTTTTAGTGGATCTGAGTAAAACCTGAAAGCATTCTGCGTCTCTTTTCCTCTTTATACTTAAGCTGCATTGAGACCACTGTGGCCAAAGGACGGACTGTGAAGGTGGTCTTCAAAGAGCTTGTTAGAGAGTTTCGGTGCACTTCTGGAGCCTTTACGATACCCAAGATCAAACACCTCCATCTGTCACGCTTCCTGTTCCGGAAGAAAAAGTTTCCTTTTTACCCTCTTTATTTTACTTTCTGCACATCATTAGTTTCCGGCACCTTCAAAGCAAAGTAATGAAGGGAATAATGCATGAATTCAAAATCTGGAGATACCTTTGTTATCGAGCGCAGGCCTCTGGCTGTGTAGTGTCAAACTGTTTGCAGATCACAGACATCTGCATCGTGGAAAACGACGGAACCATGAACAGACCAAATCTGAGGGTGAAAAAATTGAAGCTTTTCCTTTTGCGGCATTTCAAAGTTGAGAAACCAAACAGTGAAATGAACGGCCACGTCTGGCAACTTTGTTCACCTTTGTACACTCTAAAAAACTCTCAAAGGTGTTGCAAAATGTTCCCATTTTTGCCAACAATGTTGCGTTCGGAGTTTTTGGTCCAAAGAAACGGAACAATGCATTCTGCAGCTCTCCACATCCGTCAGCACCAAAGGAAAGGTGGGTGGGCGCCGTGAGCCCGATCAAAGCGCTGTGCCGCTCAACGATGCCTTCCAGCTCATTCGTTACACCAACTTCAGAGCCACTAATCCTCTCTATTGAACGTGCACGTGTAGACAAACGGCCTCACAGTGAATGAGCATTTACATAGCACGCCTCGCTCCGGTGAGCGGCGAGGCTTAATGAGCTCCAGGCCGGATGCCTTCCCTTCACTGCAGGCGGAGTGGTTAATTAATCAGACACATCTCTTCCCCTCCCCCCACCCCTCACCCTGAAGCACCGTATCAACGGGTGGGATCCTCCAGCTCGACACCTTTCAGAGTTCACCGATTTTCTAGAGGATGCGCTGCGACAATGAGCCGTCATCCAAATCTTAAAAAACCCCAACGTCTTGGCCCGCCATCGTTCAGCCATCACAACGCTAACGTTATTTACATCCACACAGCAGTGCGCTGTTTACCAACTGGCCCTGGGATGTTATCCAGCAGGGCTGGAATGATCTCTGTCAGCTTATTTCAACATAAATAAATTGACAGCGTTGCAGCAAGCTGCCAGCAACCGCTGCCTCTGGATGAGTGGTGACGAATTGAAGCGTTGCTTCATCTCATTCCAGCTGGTGTCTGTCACACGCCGTGTCAATATTGGACCAGGCCGTGATGAAAAGGTGAGAGGCAACGGTCCAAAAAGCTAACATTGACACGCCCTCCCCGTCTGAATGGCTGCGCCGTGGAGGGAATCAGCACAAAGACAAAGAACGTGCAAAGAAAGAGGAGTTCCTCTCAGGGCCGGCTGTCGACGGTTCTGATTTCTCTCCGGAGAAGTTCTGACCCGCTGATCTCTGAGCTGACGAGATGACTTAGCAGTATCCATGGCTGACAGCCTGAAACATGCAACTCTCCTGTTCCACATATTCAGCTCAGACCTTGTATTAATATTAATTTTCTCGTTTCCCCCTGGAGGACCTAATTTTGGAGTCAATTCATCTCCTCGTGACTGTTCTGACAGGATGTATCTGAGTGGTGGTGGTTTCCTCTTACAGCCGGACTCACTAAGCATGAGCTGCATATACCTTAGCTCCAAATGACCCTAACACACGTGCACAATCAGGGTTTTAGGTTTCATGTCGCTGGCATTACATAGATGCTCTATGTAGACCACAGACCAAGGACGTTTAGGATGGTTATTGACCTCCACCCTGAAGGAAGACACTGACAATTAGGAAAACTACCGCCACCTACAGGCTGGCATGCCTACGAATGTGCTTCACAATGCACTGGGAGGCTGACAACAACATGGTGTGGACTCAAGTTCCAGTCTTTTTTCTAGGCTAGCGGGGGTGGGGTGGTATTTGGTTACGTATGGCCTGAACGACACTGTGTTTTTAATTTATAAGATTATTAACTTGCTTAATCTCAACAGTTACAATAAAAACCATAAAGGTTTTGAATTTGTTTGGTTGGTTACTGTCTTTCTTTATAAGTGAAGTGACCGTTTAAATTTCCCATCAGTGGGGAAAAAAAAGAGGAATTATTCTTTCTGTAACACGCTTAATCTAGAGAATTATGCTACGGTCACTCTGCATGCAAAGGCGACTCGAATCCAAGCGTTCTGTAAGTACGTTTATTTTACTCCCACTTTTTATGAGCTGAACTCAAAGATTCAAAACATTTTAAAAGACCCATTACTCTCAACTATGGCCCTTACTCACTAGCATCAGCTCCACTCCGCCTGGACCTGGTTGAGAGTGTTCTCACTTATTTTCCCGGGCGCAACAGGACGTCTTTTCAGCCTTCTTCCCGATGAGGTCTGTTTGGAGCCGAGCAGGGCAGACACTCCCACTGCTGACTGATTGGCTGGCTCAAGAGCACACCTACTATTAGGGGGAGCCTCCAACTGGCGGATAGAATTAGCCAGCGGGGGCTTCCCGTATGCGCAATTCATTATCGTTCTGGATGCTGTGGAGTTAACAAGCCTCTGACTGAAGCCGTTTTTCTCTGTCCCTCACTGCTGTGAGCACACAGGGGCAGCAGTAGCTCAACAGGTTGAGCGGGTTGTCCAGTAATCGTTGCAGGTTCGATCCCGGCTCCGGACAGAGAATTCTGCTGTTGTGTCCTTGGGCAAGACACGTAACCTGCTGGTGGTGGTCGGAGGGACCGGTGGCGCCTGTGCTCGGCAGCCTCGCCTCTGTCAGTGCGCCCCAGGGCAGCTGTGGCTACATCGTAGCTCATCACCATCAGTGTGTGAATGGATGAATGATACACTGTGGTGTCAAGCTCTTTGGGTCATTTATCAAACACACACACACACACACACACACACACACACACACACACACACACACACACACACACACACACACACACACACACACACACACACACACACACACACACACACACACACACACACACACACACACACACACACACACACACTGCTGCCAGATAGAGCATGCAATATCAGAGTTAGAGAGTCTCCAAAAGCAAAACAGCTCGGGTCACTTTTGTTTGATTATGGAGACAACGCAGACTTTGCCCCGCCCACATGCTCAGTGTTGCGCTGATGACATCACAGACCAAAGACCGCCCACGTTCTCAATTTTGTCTGCATTCCTAAGGCAGTGTGGAAGGAACGCGGCCGGGCTAGGGTGGGCGCGGCAGAGAGGAGCGGAGTGGAGCTGATAAGTGTGAGTGTGTAAGTGCTAATAGTTTCCAAAATCTGTCCAAATCTGTTAGTGAGCACTTCTCCTTTGCCAAGATGATCCATCCCACCTACCAGATGAGTTTTCCACAGGTGTGCCTGTATGTTTAAAAAAAAAAAAAGCTCAAATAAAGAGTTTCCCAAGTCTGACCCGGGGCACTCGTATATTTGGTTCTAAATTGAATGTCGGATGTTTTTCTGGCCTGCCAGACTCGCCCTGTCTACTTTACACAGAGGATGTTTGCTTTCCATAAGGAAGCATTGGCATGGCTGGCCAGGCTATGGCGGATTGTCCCGTTGCCGGATTTCTGTAGTGGTGCATATGTCTGACATTCCGATTAATCCCAACATGTTTGATTGCGCATGGAGACAGTCTGAAAGACAACTGTGGATTCCTCCACTACAACTGAGCTCTGTGTCTGGGTCGGGCTACATTTCTACATATAAAGGGTTTTCTAGCACAAACGGCATGTTTAAGATCAAAGGTCAGGCTTGGACCTTCATAATTTTCCAGTGAAGAGCAGAAGTCATGAATTCATCGGTTACATCAAGTGGTCTGAAACGGCCCCAGACCACCAGCATGTCTGATTGCTGGTGTGATGCTTTTTCTGAAATGCTGTTTTAGTTTTACTTGAAATGTAATAAAACACACACCTCCCAGGAAATAAGACTTTCACTCTCTATTCCACTAAACCTTCTCCCTCAACGCTTTAGGAGATCATCAAGATTTATTTCGCTAAATGAGTTTTTGTGTTGTCTTTGCTCATCGTTGTCTGATACTGAAATCTGCATTTGAATTTGTTTCAAACGACCAACACTTCATCGCCGCCTTTTGATTATTAAAGATCAATCTGACTTTCCGTAAAACTGCGATTCATTTTTGCCAAAAATAAATCTATGTGGGTCAGAGTTTGGTCAGATGAGAAGACAGGATTCTCCCCCTCCGAGTTCTCCTGATGAAGGGGGTGAGCGGGTCCCCTGGCAGCAATCAAGCCAGCCCCACGGATCTCTGAGCGTGTTTCCAGCCTGCTCATTACCAGTGCAGGACACATCCGCTGGAGTCACTCATGTGAGACTTACCTTCAGCTCGCATGGTGAACGGCGAGTCTCCGGGTCGCTTGGCCAAGAACTGGCCCCCGAGAGAGGTCATTAGAAAGCACAGGCTGAAGAAGCCAACCCCCGCTACAAAGATCCTGCAGGAAAAAGGAGAAATTAGCTTCAAAGGGGGCAAATTACATGGTTAGAGCTCAGGGAATACAAGCAGCTAAAACAAAAGATAGGGTAGTAATTTCAAGCCCATATGGATGGGGGAGGATTTATAAAGCATGGACAAGTTCCTCAAATGACAGAATGTGCTTAGTTGATTTCAAACGAACCGTGTTTCTACGTTCCACGGTACTCAGTGGGTGCAAACAGCCAAAATAAACGCACTCATCCACAGACGAATGGAAGCTGCAAACATAAGCTGCACTGTAAATATGTCTCCAGTGTTGTGGAATGATTTTCCTCACTTCGACTCGTCTGAAGGCAGTCGTGCTGAGTGGAGCTGGAGGACAGGCTGTCACACTCGGGTTTAAAACACATTCTTCTATCATGTTTTTATTTATGATCCTTCGCTGCAGCCTGATAATGATAATGGTGGAAAACAAGTCTCAGGTTGCTCACCATGATTGTACAGCTAGAGACAGAAGGGCTGATTATTAAATATGCAAATCTCCCAAGTTTGGAGCATCTTGAGCGCTTTGATGAGGTGACTGTTTACTTGGCTCACACCGTTTGAGCTGAGTAAGCAAAGCTTTAATTGTGGATCAGCCTGGAGTTTCTGTCCAAATTAAGTGGACCGAGCATGCAGAATTGGCTGAATTCATTTTTTTAATTCATGCATTTTGCAATGCTTGCTGCAGTTTTTGCACAATGAGATTAAAATTATTATTTGATATGAAATTGCAGCATCTGCAGATCTTAAGGTCGGTTTTCCGCACAAGTTATAGACAGATGCAGCAAATGCAAAGGTGGAATAAAGTTTGATTCAGCGAAAATGCACCAGGTTGGTCCGTGCAGATGTGCGGCGCTCTCACCTGAACGGCTTGAAAGTGACAGGGCATCTCCTCACCATCATGGAAAGCTCACCGATGGCCGCAATCATTTTCCGCACGCAAACACAGCGCCAGTTCTCTCTAACATCGCGCTCATTTGCGCGAATGATCGCGTGGAAAGCGGTGGTGGATGTAGGTGGAGACGCGCAACTTCTGACTGATGTCCGCGGCGCGCTACCGCTGCTGCTGGGAGCAACTTCAGCGGAATCCTGGCTCCTGCAGACAGACAGCAGGTGGACAAGTGCACTGGTACCAGCAGGAGGAGGTTTCACGACCCAGTCCTGGAGGAAGCCTCTAATAAGGCTGGGAAATGTTCTGGGATTTCAGCAGCAGCAGAAAACCAAAGATGTTGAGTTGATTGGATCCTCGGAGTGGAGCTGACTTCGGTCTGAGCGCAGCTGCGGCTTGTTTACTCACAGCGCCATCTAAAGATCCATCCTGGAGCGCAAAGCGCTGATTTCTCCTGTCATCCTGACGCAAACACGTCATGGAGGAAGGAACAGGGAAATTATTACCAAGGGAATAACATCTGCGCTGCAATCAGTCCACTATAAGGACAGATTCAAATACTTAGATATATAGCATTCCGTATATTATATAATATAAGAAAAAAGGAAATTATTTCCTCATCAATAATGATTTACTTCCTAAAAGTTCAGGTATGGGGAGCCGAATGTAAAACAGCAGTTAAAATCCAATGTTTAGAATTCAATCAGATTATTATAAGTAAAATAAACAACATATAAGATCCAACCAAGTCCAGATATATACATTCATGTCTAAGTTATTAAAATTAAATCTAAATTTTGAAAGTTTACTCTAAATGTTAAGAGTCAAATAAAAAATTAAAAGAAGAAGAACAACAACAAAGGCTTTTATAAAGCGCCTTTCCTAACTGGTCTTCCCCAAAAAGCTGTGAAGCAACTGCAGCTTGTTCAGAATGCTGCTGCTAGAGTCTTCACAAGAACTAAGAGAACGGAGCACATCACTCTCTACACTGGTTACCAGTAAACTACAGAATAGACTTCAAAGTGATCCTACTAGTTTATGAATCACTCAGTGGCATGGGACCAAAATACATGTCCGATCTCATTCCTGTATATACACCCAACAGGGCTCGGAGATAAACAGTCAGCTGGTAGAACCTCAGGTCAGAACAAAACATGGTGGAGATGCATTTAGTTACTATGCTGCTCGCATATGGAATCAGCGTCTCCGTGACTCAGATCTTCCCCAACCCTAGTGTTGTTTAAATCAAAAACCCTAATGTACTGACCAGCCTTTAAATGAATAGTTTCTTATATATCTTCACTGAAACCTGCCTTGTAACGTTGTCTTCTCCTTTAGCTCTAAACTGTGTGTATTTCAATTTGTGTTTTTATGTTGTTTTCACATTATGTACTGATAATTGTAAAGCACATTGAACTGCCTTTGCGTTTGAAATGTGCTCTATAAATAAAGTAGTCGTGTCTTGCCTTTCAAAATAAAATTCACAAACGTGGTAAATTTATCACATTTTAAATAATTTAAAATTGTAAAACGATTTATAAAATAAAATAAAACAATTCTAGCAACATTAAAATAAAGATTCAAATATAAAACCGAAAGTGAAAACAGAAAGGAGGCCAAAAATACACAGAAATAATAGAAACACCCAGGTACCAATTCCCCCTTAATACATGGGATAAATCTAAATAAAATCTAGCTTCCCTTCAGGAAAGGAAAATAGGTTTATAGTGATAATCAAAATCATAAAGCCAACTATAGTGGTTCGTTGGGGTCAGGAACCCCTTCCCTATGAGTCATTAAAAACTAAACTGGGTGTCTTAAAACCATTCCCAAAGATTTGAAATTTTAGTTAAAAATATTGCATTCACTTAAATTATTACAAGAACTGTAACCAGTGAAATCAGAGAAATCGTCAACTTTATTACTTTGTTTTTTTTAGCTAAATCATAGAAACCAAAACATCTGGGGTTGTCAGGCATTACAGCCATTTTATGAGTCAGAAGCTGGAAAAGTTGGGATCCACTGACCAGGACTAATTGATCCTAGAAGGCTGCCATCCAGCTGTTTCCCTGCTCCAAACATCAAAACAAAGCTGTGGTTGTCTCTCATCCACCGTGTCCCCCACACCTGTAGGACTGAGTGTTCTCATCTCCCCTCAGACTGAGGCAGTACACACCCAGACTTCAGCAAACATTTCTTATATTTTAGCTCAAAATATTCTCATTTTCAATGAAATATTAAACAGTGCAGGTGTTTAAAATGCATCTGAGCGACCACCAGAGCCTTCAGCTGCTCTTACTTTGAGAATAAAAAAAAGACAACTCTTGATTTTATCACAGCAGCTGAAACAGAGACAGGCGATCTTCTAAGGATATTCTCGGAAAGAAAAGCCAGAAGAGAAAGAAGAATTCCCATCTTAATGCAGCCAAGGAATGAGCATGTGTGGTTGCCAAGGTGACTAATGAAATACTGGTAGCAATATTAACATTTACTTAGGTCTTGGATCTCTTTGAACTGGTAGAAACAACAAAACTGTTATTGGATTGCTACACAGCTGATGTAAATGACTGAGCATCCTTCTAAATGTCTAAAAATAGCTGTTTGGATTTTCAAATGCCTTGAAATGAAACTATCTGTTAGCCTTTAATGGACAGGAAGGAAAATACCTCTCCTCCATGTTACCCCTACATGTATTAAAACCAGTGAGTGTTGTTTTAACGAGGAAACCCCTGAGAGGTGCATAGAATCAGGAGGTAGCACCGATTTTCCTTCCTGTGCAGAATGGGAGGTTGTTGTGAGAGGTTCCTACAAAGGTTAATGTGCTCTTGATGGAGACTGACCACCGGAGCAGGTGCCGTTTGGATACCAGAGCTCTCAGAGGAGAGGAAATTAATGGAAGGTAAAATATTACAAATAGAGAGACCACAGATGAAGGCTGGGAATATGAAAATACGTTTAAATACATGTAAACATACATGTGAAGGATTTGATAATAAACACATAAGGGAGGGTGAAGGGGTTAAAAATCTTAAAAATCAACACAGTTTAGAAAAGAAATTAGGTCTTAAATTTTATTTCACTTTAAAATGTGTTCATTATCTCAGCTGAGGGTGTTCTCTTGTACCTCTTCCGAAAGTCTCTGTTCAGCACCGGACAGCTCCAGGTTGGGTCCAGTCTAACTCAGCAGTGCCACCTGGTGGACAGCCAACACATTACATCAAGAACAAAGGAAATAGGTTTTAGTTTTCTTTGAGTATTTAATTTATTAATATTTTTATTAAGATAATATTTTATTGAATTAATAAAAAGTGAAAAAATACATACATTTGCTGATGTTTGACTGGTTTTGGTCAATTCTGACTGCAAAAATGAAACAGTTAGTTAATGTCAGAAGTTTTTTATTTTAAAGGGAAGATCAGGAGTCTTTTTAAAATCGATTAGTTTGACAGTAGACATGGTTTAACAAATTAAAGGGGACTTTTTTCTTAAGTTATGATATAAGTTATATGACACATGTGTTAAACTCAGGCCCTTGGGTCAAAACTGGCCCACGATGTATTTACATTTGGCCCAACAGATTATTTATCAAATGTCTTTAAGGAACTGGTCCCCCCACACATATGGTAAATGGTAAAAGGCTTGTATTTGATACAGCACCTTTTAATGTCCTGGAAACCCCCAAGGCGCTTTACAACACAATTAGTCATTCACACACATTGTAGCCACAGCTGCTCTGGGACACAAGGACAGCTGTGTCCTTGGGAAAGATGCTTAGCCCCGCTTGACTGCTGGTGGTGGTCAGAGGAACCAGTGGCGCCTGTGATCGGCAGCTACTGTCAGTGGGCCCCAGGGCAGCTGTGGCTGCATCGTAGCTCATCCCCAACAGTGTGTGAATGTGTGTATGAATGGGTGAATGACTGATTGTGTTGTAAAGCACCTTGGGTGGTTCCAGGACTCTAGAAAGCACTTTATCAAATACAGGCCACTTACTATTTACCATACACTGGCGCCACTGGCTCCTCCGACCACCACCAGCAGGCAAGTGGGGTTAAGCATCTTGCCCAAGGACACAACGACAGCGACAGACTGAGCGGAGCTCGAACCTGCAACCTTCCAATTACAGGGCGAGCACTTAACTCCTGTGCCACCATCATTAATACTACAAATCCCAGAAGGCTTTGCTGGGTTAGCATGTCAATCTATTCCATTTACAGTCATTAGCATCCATGCTACCAGGCTCAAACTGAACACAGTGCCAAATCTGAAGCCCAGAAATGGAGATTTCACCTGCTCAGTAATCTGTTTGTGGTTTTATGTGGACAGGGCACCGACCAACCTCTGAACAGAGGTGACTGAACTCCAGCCTAATCTAACATTTTTGTACATGTAGAATCAACATTTAAAAAACAGAGTTCTGACCCAAAGCTCATTCTTTTTTAGTCTTTTTACAGAGTTAGTCCATATGGGGGTCAAAGCCATCAGGTCAGTTATTAATACTCTTTGTACCTGAGATGAGATCAGAACGGACTGTGCTGCTGTTTTCTAAAACTAAAAAAATCTCGGTAAAGAAACTTGTGTCTAATAAAAATTAGATTGACACTAATCAGTAAAATCCTCCACCACTGGTCCGTGATCAGGGTCATCAGTGCTGAGTTTGACATATTAATGATACATGCATAGAAAGGTAACAGCTAGCATTTCGTACAAAAAAAGTCAGAAAAATTACTTAAGCATGATCCGAATTTTCTTTCTGACCTCAATGATCATCCATCCATTACTGTCCGCTTATCCAGAGCCGGGTCGCGGGGGCTGTGGCCTAAGCAGGGAAGCCCAGACTTCCCTCTGCCCAGCCACTTGGGCCAGCTCCTCCGGGGGCCCAAGTGGCTGGGCAGAGGGAAATCTGGGCCTCTCGACTTAGGCTACTGGCCCCGCGACCCGACTCTGGATAAGTGGATGAAAATGGATGGATGGATGGATATGCTGCCTTCATGCTGCTGCATGCTGTAGAAAATTTAAATTAAATTATTGGTTTTATTCTACAGGCCAGATTAGATTAATAGAAGCAGTGTTTTGATGCAGAAATCATTTTGGAAGAAGGATGTTTTCTTTATTTTCTTCTTACAGGTGGAGCACGGCCTCAGTTTCAACTTCATGCCAACTAGAAATAAAATCAAACAAACATGGCTTTGAGGTTTCAATCCCACGTTCATCTCTATCCATCTGGTTTTTGCTTCTCAGCTTCTTGTGTTTTAACTTTTCTCTGCTCTACGTGTCCTCAGCCGCTAATCCCAGCAGGACAGTTGCGTCATCACCTTCCCTCTAAGGTGAAAGGCAGGTAATCATGTGTGTTTGCAGATTATCTACTGAAACCACCATCAGATTTCAGTAAGAAGGCTTCTGCAGACAAAGTGATGATCTGTTGGCCTGCATGTGTCGAGGTTAAGGTTTTCCTGCTTCAACCTGTTTATATAATATTACACAGGACCATAAAAGTGTGATGTAAGACATGTTCGGACATGGAGGCTTTCCGTGAGACTGAAACAGGTCTTCCCCGCCCAACACACACACACAGACACACACAAAGGTGCAGGATCTTTGGGGCGCATATTAAGCAAAACTCACCTTTTTGGATCCTTTTGTGCTGCCATGTGGGTCTCTACTGACTCCACAAAGACCCCAAACTGTTTTCTGTCAGTGTTTGATTTCAGGAATAATAAGTCTAAAACAAATCATTTCAAAAAGTCCAACATTGTGACATCACAAAAGGGGACTTTTTAGTGTAACCTCACACGTGTCTGCGCTGGAGGAGCAGTGGCTCTATTCTGAGCCTCTCCCAAATATCGGAGCTTCTCAGCTATAGGCAGCCAATCAGGTGAAGGGTGGGTGTGGCCAGCTTCAGCTTGTTTTCTTAAAGTGGCAGAGCCCTGAAACGGCTCAGTCTAGAAGGTACTGAAACTTACAAGAATAAAACTGCTGAAATCGCATCATGTGAGAAAGATTTAGCACAAGCACTGATTCATTTGGAGAGTTTACTCTGTAAAGTGCCTCGAGATAACTCTTGTTGTGAATTGGCACTATTTAAATAAACTGGATTGCAAAGAACTTCATGACCTTGTTTTTGATGCAATCATATTTAATAAAAGTCATAATGTGTCTCCTTTAAGCCAGTCTAGAAGTTGTGTGTTTTTTCCATAACAGCAAGAGTTGTTGCTTTCAAGGCCACATGTCAGGTCAGGTTTCAACAACCCAGCAAAAGCACAACTAAGTTTCGTCATTTCACTTGCAAAATCCAGCCGACAGGTAAACGTTCAAACTGTGGTGGAGAAACACCAGACATGAAAGTCTTAAAGAGGCCACAGCGCTCTGAATCTGATACCTCACAGCAAAAGAGTCTTGCTACTGTTGCAGGAATAAAAACGGACCAACGGATATTCATAATGATGAGTCATGGATCTCAAACCACACCTGTCAGGACTCACGGAGGTGAGAACGTTCAAAAAAAGGTTAAACAATCATCAAACGTCCAGAAAAAGAACAGAGAGAGTAAAAAGAATGATCCATTATTTAGAATAATCAATGAGTGATTTGATTTCTGTTTAGTGTGACCCGATGTTGCCTCTTACCGTCGGTTAACGGCATTCATTGTTTCCTGTTAGCGTGAGAAACAAGCAAGAGCAGAGTGTGTTTGAACAGATACGATCAGAAGGATGTTTACGCACCCCCCCCCCCCCCACACACACACACACACAAACACGCTCACTCGCATGCACACACACACACACATGCAAGCACATACATACACACACACACACACGCTCACTCGCATGCACACACGCACACAAACAAACACACACACACGCAAGTACACACACACACACACATACACACACACAACTCTCCCATGCACACACACACACAAACCCACATGCAAGCACACACATACACACACAACTCCCCCATGCACACACACATGCACACACACACACCCACATGCAAGCACACACACACACACAAACCCACATGCAAGCACACACACACACACATGCTCGCTCGCACACACACACACACATGCTCACTTGCACACATACACACACACACACACACACACATGCTCACTTGCGCATATACACATACACACAAACGCACACACACACACACGCACACACACACACACACACACACACACACACACACACACACACACACACACACACACACACACGCAAACAACTTTATTACTCTAATACAGGGGTGGAAGTGTTGCTAAATCAAATAAAAGGAGTTACTATCCTCCTTTTTTTAGCTTTTTTTGTCTTAACTCTCTCATTTTTCAGAACTCGTCCATTCCAGGGCGAGTTCAGTCACGTTCAGCCATTCACCCGACACCACCCAGACCTGAAGTTTCTTTACAACAACGCAGTGAGCATTATCCCCGTGTAGGATGTCCTCTGATCCTCTTGACTGAAGCTGTTGTAAACACAAAAAATAGTTAACCGGTAGGTAATTGAACACATACTTTAATTTGAGTGTTTTCAGTTTGCCTTAATCTTTTGTTAAATTGATTCAAATGCAGATCAGAGACATGAGACCCTCCGGTGCTGCAGGAACTCATTGGGGGTTCTTCTGGATTTGTGTTTTCTGGTTCAACATAGCTTCCTGCTTTAGTGGTGAGTCTTTGTTTAGAGCATGAAAAATAAAAACTATTAGGTCACCATGAAGTGTAAAAGTATAAATCACTGGTGCTTTATGGTGCAGCAAAAGTTGTAGTGGCTTGATGAATATCTGTATGATAAAACAGAGTGGATGCTTGGTACAAGTTTGTGGTTTAAACTATGTATGAAGAGCTTTTATTAGGGCTGGGACTTGATTAAAATTTTTAATCTAATTAATTAGAGGCTTTGTAATTAATTAATCTAAATTAATCGCATTTTAATCGTTCAGGAAAATGTGCTCTCAAAGTAAAACTTTTAATTAAAATTATGAGACAGAGAATCAAACATTAGACATGGTTATTACTGTAAACTAAAGCTTTTAATAAAAAAAATGCATTTTAATTATTCAAATGTCACTGTGTGATAAACAAAACCCAAATCAACTAAAATTTCAAATACAAATAGAAAACACCTGCAAAGGGTTCCTGAGCCTTTAAATAGTCTCTCTGTCTAGTTGAATGACTGAAATAAATTTGACTTTGCACCAGATTCTAATTTTTCCAGTTTCACTTGTTTGTATAATTGAGAGTTTTTATTAGCATTTCTACTCATAATGTAGTAAAAACACATAAATAATAATCCTTCAAAATGACAGTAGAACAGGCACAAATATGATCTAGGACTTAAATGTACTAACTTTTAACACCAGAGCAGGCATGGAATATTCTGAGAATGATCAGGAACACTAACTGGTTCCAGTTGGATGACTGGAGGTTGATGGGATGATAAAAGATCATGGCGAGGAAATAATGATCTGACGAACAGGTGAGCGGACCTTCCTTACATGGGAAGTCCTGATGTCACGATAAGAAGGGGATGCTGCAGACCTGCAGATTCACGCCTGCAGCAGCGAATCTGGTGTGATCTCCAGCCTGATCACAACTTCCTCGTTCCTCGCTGCCCCTGATGCACTTAAGCATCCGCCCCTTAGCTGATGGCAGCTTCAACACACCTCGCTGCTTAATGATAGTAATGCATGTGATGTTTAGACAGAGACTCGTCTCAAAAACATATAATTCCCCGACAGAATTGTTTACAAAATCATCAGAAAAGTTTCAGAGTGTTTCTGTTTTCAACTTTAAGACACGTTGTTTGTGATTGTTTACAGAGTAGTGAGAACACGGAGCTTTCTCCCAGCGGCAGCCAGGTGCCTCTCGTTTGTCTGACTACTTTCATAAACTACTGTTAGGGCACAGAATTATTCTGTCTGGTGCTTTCAGCACTGCACAGATGTTACGTAAATGTTAAAAATGTAGCTTACCGCAACTTTTGTAAAGTTTCCGGTGCCACTGGGCAGCCGCAGCAGAGACGATCTCTGAAAAATGTCCGCGACACGGACTCCGTTGTTGTCTGGAAGTTTTTTTTTCCAAGTTAAGAAAAGAGGCGGACGGGTTTCCTAAATCCTGCATCAGTCCAAGCAAGGCAACTTCTTTCTGTTTTTATTCCGTTTTAGTAGCCATTAGCACTGTGCATTGGTGTGTGTGTCAGTGATATTCAGTCTACGAGGAAATCGTGCAATGACAAAGGTTCCGCCGTGCTTGAAATGCAAGCTGCGATTAATTGCGTAAATTTTTTTGACGCGTTATTTTTTTTCTAATTAATTAATCATAATTAACGCGTTAAAGTCCCGGCCCTAGCTTTTATATTTTACAATTATAGCACATAAGCTCCGCCATCCCACAATGTCCTAGAGTGTAGAATGAAGTGCTCAGAAGATGCTGCAAGACAGGATCTGACCTAACAGATAATAAACCAGATACATTAGCTTTTAGCAGAAAAATGTTCCTGTATAACATTTCCATCACAAATAGAACACACACACACACACACACACACACACACACACACACACACACACACACACACACACACACACACACACACACACACGCAGTCTGAGATTTCCTGTGTATGGATGAATGATCTAGGATTTAATCATCTTACACAAAAAAAGTATCGTAGGTAATCGGTTCTTCCTGCTTTTATTTTGGCGGTCTTCTTTCTTTCAGCCTTTCAGATGTGTTTTAGCTAAATATTTAGTTTTAAACGACCACATTCACATTTAGATTTCATCCTTTTGTTTTGATATTAAATGTTAACTGATTACATCATTATCTACATTTATGTTTGACAACTTAAACATATCATTTTCATTTCATGGATAAAAACGGAAAGTGACTGAATGTTATTTTATGTAAAGCTGAATATGGTGAGATTGTCAATGTCAACCTCATTTATATATTTCTATCAGTAAATTTACCTTGAATGTATTTATTATCTGTAACCTTGTTTGTTTGTTTTTAAACAGCCAATGATCTGGTAAACCTGCAGACCACAGATGGGACATACGCACAGTGTGGAGACAACGTGATCCTGACGTGTAATGCCAGCTCGCCTCAGCCGTGGAACTTGAATATAAAAAAGTTTGTCTGGCAGTTCGGAAACACAACAATGTGCCAGTTTGGAGCGGACCAAGACGACGATCAGTTTAAGTGTGAAAGCACGAACACCACATTTAATCGCATAATCTTTCTGACGCTTTACAACGTGATGCCGACCAACGAAGGAAACTACCTCTGCAAGCTTTACTCCACCAGCGGGTCCTGGAACGGTGGAAGTCAGCTGAGGGCAGAAGGTCAGTACAAAACCTAGAACCTATGATGAAGAATTGTGGTCTTACCTGTTGTACATATTGCTTTGCAAAACCTCTATTTAGAGAAAAATATGGATTCTTACTGGATTGATGAGCTAAAGGCTAGTTGGGGTCAAAACCACAGCAGCTGACTTCTCAATATTCTTTAAAATGTCAACGCTCACTTGAATGCTATTTTTTAAACCTTTGTTAGTTTAACATTACACAGCCTTTCTGTCTAGAAATGAACTATAACTGCTACAGCTAGCTAGCTGCTGCGCTAATTTTTTATCTATTTATTTTGATGATAACTGAATGGGAAGGTTTTATTTTGTATTCATTGATAAACACAATACATGATTTTTATTCTTACAAAATAGTTAAACATTAATTATATTAACGAGTTACTGTATTGTAGTTATTTTTTTTCCAAGCTCTGTAGAAAATCCTCTGAAATAAGAGTAGATCAGGTAAAGTAAGAAGTACAAACAAACACATTTAGAATAAAATTATTCTTGAATAAGACCGGAAACACTGTAAAAAGTAAAACTTCTGCTCTAGTTTCTGACAAAAGTGTCCATATTTGTTTTCCTTTTCATGTATTTAAAAAAATATATCTTTATTTTATTATGTGAACATTTTATTTTGAAAACGTCAAGGTGTAATTTCTCCATCTGCCCAACAGGGGGAAGCAGAGCCCCACGATTATTTTTTTTTATTGGAAAAATAGAACATTTACAAAATTACAATATATGACAAAATTACAATATATTGCAAAAGAGTACAGAAAAGTGAACGAAAACGTTACAGTGCAGCTAAAAGTGACGCAGGAGGATTAAGAATAGTCTTTTCAAAGCTGCTGTGCTAATTGTGTAAGTTCAAAAGGTCATAAAATAGTATTTCCTGGAATGGGTCATACCTTGGCTGGACGCAAAAGTTCACCAAACACAAACAGTAAATTCAAAGTGTTTATTATCAGAAATGGAGGGGGCGGTGTCTTGGAATAACGCTAGCAGTAAAAAATCAGTCTGCAATTCATAAACTTAAACTTTGAAACAGGAAAAGGAAAAAAAAACAGATATCAGAGGGCTGGCCATAAGAGGTAGAGTTGAAGCAGGGAGGCTTGAACCAAAACTCTATAAGCTACAGGCAAAAAGAAGTAAAGATGATCAATGACATGATGTAAATGATGGGGTGGTGGTCCCCATCTTTAAGAAGGGTGACCTGAGGGTGTGTTCCAACTATAGGGGGATCACACTCCTCAGCCTCCCTGGAAAGGTCTACGCCAAGGTACTGGAGAGGAGGGTCCGATCGATAGTTGAATCTCAGATAGAGGAGGAGCAATGTGGTTTTCGTCCTGGCCGTGGAACTGTGGACCAGCTCTATACCCTTGCAAGGGTGATGGAGGGGGCATGGGAGTTTGCCCAACCAATCCACATGTGCTTTGTGGATTTGGAGAAGGCTTATGACCGTGTCCCCAGGGGCACCCTGTGGGGGACGCTCCAGGAGTATGGGGTGGGTGGCTTTCTGTTAAGGGCCATTCAGTCCCTTTACCAGAGGAGCGTGAGTTTGGTCCGCATAGCCGGTAGTAAGTCGGACCTGTTCCCAGTGAGGGTTGGACTCCGCCAGGGCTGCCCTTTGTCACCGGTTCTGTTCATTACCTTTAAGGACAGAATTTCTAGACGCAGCCGTGGTGTGGAGTGTGTCGAGTTTGGTGGCAGGAGAATCTTGTCTCTGCTTTTTGCGGATGATGTGGTCCTCCTAGCTTCATCCAGCTCTGACCTTCAGCTCTTGCTGGGTAGGTTCGCGGCCGAATGTGAAGCGGCTGGGATGAGGATCAGCACCTCCAAATCTGAGACCATGGTTCTCGACCGGAAAAGGGTGGCTTGCCACCTCCGGGTCGGGGGAGAGGTCCTACCTCAAGTGGAGGAGTTTAAGTATCTCGGGGTCTTGTTCACGAGTGAGGGTAGGAGGGATCGGGAGATCGACAGGCGGATTGGTTCGGCGTCTGCAGTGATGCGGACGCTGAGCCGATCTGTCGTGGGGAAGAGGGAGCTGAGCCAGAAAGCCAGGCTCTCGATTTACCGGTCGATCTACGTCCCAATCCTCACCTATGGTCATGAGCTTTGGGTAATGACCGAAAGAACGAGATTGCGGATACAAGCGGCCGAAATGAGTTTCCTCCGTAGGGTGGCCGGGCTCAGCCTTAGAGATAGGGTGAGGAGCTCGGACATTCGGGAGGGACTCGGAGTAGAACCGCTGCTCCTCCGGATCGAAAGGAGCCAGTTGAGGTGGTTTGGGCATCTGGTCAGGATGCCTCCTGGACGCCTCCCCGGGGAGGTGTTTCGGGCATGTCCTGCCGGCAGAAGGCCCCCGGGTCGACCCAGGACACGTTGGAGAGGTTACATCTCCAATCTGGTCCGGGAACGCCTTGGGGTCCTGCCGGAGGAGCTGGTGGACAAGGCCGGGGAGAGGACGGCCTGGAGCTCCCTAATTGGGATGCTGCCCCCGCGACCCGGACCCGGATAAGCGGAGGAAGACGAAGACGAAGACGAATGACATGAACCGAAGTTTGTTGGAACACTGAGGGTATGGTTTTAGAAAATCTGGCTCTGTAGGAGTGACTGAAGAGCTTTTGGTCTGTGGGTCACAGGCAAAAGTGCTACTACATATGAAGACACTGAATACTTACCCAACTACTCACAAGATTTTCTACAAGTTGTTTTAAGATTAGACTTTTTTTAAAGTAACACTAAACATTTTCCAGCTTCTCTGTCCTTCTGGTTGAAAGTGAAATTAGCACTTTCATAAACAAACCTGCAGCAGCCTGTTGTAGCTAGCGCTAACAACAAGCTAACACTGACACGAGCCAAGTCGTACTACAAATGCAGCAAATTAAAAAGAGCCACACTTGCAAAAAATTTTTTTACAAGTCCAGCAGCAACAAAGCCAGGTCACCATCAGTCCAAATTTTCATCACCTCCTTTAGCTCCCTCAAATTAGTGTAGGCCATGCCAGTGTTCACTCTGGTTTCACTCTGACTTTTACTTCCAGGCTCTGCCATGATGCCAACAAAAAAAGAAAATTTCTTTTTTTGTGTGTGTGTTTTTTATTGACAGTCGGAGAACTGAAAAGGCTAACTGTTAGCCTTTATGGCACATAAAATAGACGTTAAGCAGGTGTAGGGCACCCTCTAGGACACATGCCCACTCCTCAAAACTGTTAAGAACTGTTTCTGGTCAGCAGAGGTCTGCAGAGTGCTGTCTCATGTTTGAATTTGCTAAAGTTTCTACCTACACAATCACTGAATCACACATATGAAGGAATGGGTTCAAAGCTGCTTTATGTTGCTTTCAGACGGCAGTGATGCACTTTGGTTCAGGTTTGTTTGTCAGTCCCGTCAGAATGCATGAGTGATTCAACTCTCACACACACTTTGGTGCCCCAGCAAACATTGTCACGACAGCAACGTGGTGTCCACGGTGGCGGTCGAACGTCTTAAATTTGTTAAACCATACGTAACAGAAAATTCCCTAAAAACGCTGAACGACGTTTATGTCACAGCCAGAAAAGAAGTCAGTTCAACAAATTTTTTAACCACGACGGAACGTCTCGGTCTGACGTTGTTTCAACGGTCACTAAATGTCCGAATGTTTCCTGGGGTGCGTAATGGTTAGGGTCAGAAAAGCTGACATATTGACAAAATCACTGAAAAAGTGTATTCTGCAAGCTAGCTTCAAACCACAGCCGCTAACAAAGATCAGTACGGGTCACCAGAGCATGGTTTAGAAGAGGCGAACAGAAAATGTCTTCAAAAATTCTTCAGTATGTTGTGAAGACTGCAACCTGTAGTTCTTCTTGTGGGTGTTTACTTTCTCAACTATCAGTGGTTTGATATTCAAATGTAAGGATGAACAACAATGTAAATACCTAATGCTATCCCCAGAAATTAAACATTTTTAAATGCAGGCGATTAAAAACCACCTCCAGATGAGCAACGACCCTTTTAGGTTTAGCCTGAATCACGGGTTAAAAGACGTTTTACCAAACTGTCGTCGTTCATAGAACCATCTAAGCATTTTCAGCTTCATACAGTAAATGAGGCCCTTGAACTATCATTTTAAATATGCCCTTTGACCCTTCATACATCTGAAGTCTTCCATCTTTTTTAGAATGCCTGGAGAGCACTGAAGCCTCCTCGAACGAGAATTACGCTGAATGCTCGTTTGATGGGGTCTACCCCAGCGGAGAGGTCCACTGGTTCCAGGGAGACACCAACGTAACCGAAGAGGCTTACACACACAAAGAGAAGGACGAATCTGAGCGCTTTAACATCCGGAGCGTGATGAACCTGAAGAATAATGGTCTGGGCGAGCCTTATAACTGTTCCCTGTGGATCCCGTCTCTGGGCAGGTACATCGCCACTGAAGAAGTTTCATCAGGTGGTTCGGTCAGACTCCAGTGGATCTGGCTGGTTGTTTCTCTGATGATGAGTTTTATCGTGTAAGATTTCTCAAACGGAAGTGAGCCACTGACAGCTGCATGTGAGTTTTGGGAAAAGTTGTTTCACCTTTTAAATGTTGCCATTCCTGTTCTTTCCTTTGCATTTGAAACTGATGAAAGAGCATTTTTCATGTGTTTTGCTGGAAAACTCCACTTGGTGGCAGCATGGTGTTTATTGCTAAGCTTTAACAGAAAGGGGGAAATGTTTCTGCACAGGATTTGGATGTTTCTTCTTCTGTTGGTGTTTTTTCATGTGAACCTTGAACGATTTCTCCTTTTAAGGTAGATCAGATAAAAATATCTGCTTCAGTCTTCTTTTAAATATGAAAAGACCAAACAGTTGATGTCCTAAAACGTGTTTACCACTTAGCCACTGATACACAACTTATCCATTGCTGTGAAAGATGGTGTGTGTTCAGATTACAGTTCAAATACAAGCTGTTACTACCTTGTTGTTATAACAGTTATTCTCCACAATACTCCTCTGAATGTATTAAAACATGCATCTATCTGCTTTCTGCATGGAACTGAGATTGCATGAAATGTGATGATTTTGCCAAATTTGGGCTATTTTGATTGATCTTAGTCACTGACCATAGCTTTCTTAACAACCTCTGTTTGGAGAAATAAAGTTGACGTCTCACAAGACCAATGTTGTCACAGCTAATCCAACTTGCCTTTCGTTTACGAGTACGAAACGGACCGTGTATGCCTTCCGCAAGAACCAGAACCTCCAATCAGATCATTCACATCGACTGCGGTGCAGATCCGGATGCAGATCTCTGGCTTTTTCAAGTATTAATGACAGCGGCATCAGTTCACGGTTAATGATATTACATGTTAGTGTATTATGCCCTCAAGGGAGACCATTTCCAGAGACGCTCAGCCCACGATCCACAGTCGATGTTAATGGCATTTCATCCCGAAGCCATCTGGAAACCGGACTGCATCTGTCCTGCACTTGGTGTGCTCAGGTTCCAGAGGTAGGCAACTCGGGTCCTAGAAGCCAGTATCCAGACCGTTTTAGAGGTTTCTCTCATTCAACACACACCTGATTTTAAACAGCAAGTGACTGACAGCCTTCTGCAGAGCCTGATGAGCTGCTGAATGGGTGATTCAACTGTGGTGAAGCAGGGAAACAACTAAAACATGCTGGATAGCAGCTCACTAGAACCAGGGTTGTCTACCTCAGCGTCAGACCAAATTGTGCTGCTGCTACCTTGAAATTGCTGGAATTTACAATATTCCAACAGTCAGTCCATCCAACCATTTTCATCTGTTTATCCGGAGTCAGGTCACAGGGGCAGCAGCCTAAGCAAGGAGGCCTAGACTTCTATCTCCCCAGGCATTTGGGCCAGCTCCTCCGGGGGAATCCTAAGGCAGTGGTTCCTAACCTGGGGGTCCCGACCCCCACAAGGGGGCGCCAAAGCCTCTCAGTGTGTTGCCAGGACCCCTCCACTTTAAGGGGTTAAAACTTCATCTATTACTTGTTTATAGCCTACATTTTGCTCACATTTTTTTCATGAGTGAAAAGTTTACTGATATTAAGACAGGAAATAATTAGTACAGAAAGAGTAACACACTTTTAAGAACATTTTGCTCAGCTCACTGTTTTATTTTCAAGTGTCAAAAGTTCACAGCCTTTACAGTAAATAATCTAGTATAAACAGTAATATACACATTTAAGTACATTTTGCTCAGTGTATTTTTTATGTGTCAATCGTTTATTGAAAGGAATGATTGATTTATCAGTGTTTACAAGAAACAATGTGTTCAGAAAAGTAACACAAACTGTCAAGCACATTATGCTCTGTTTGGTTTTGTTAATGACTTTGTTCTGTACTGGAGCCTACTATTACTGTTATCTATTGAATCAAAGCATATTAAAATGTGCTTGAATAATTTTATCATTTCTTAATAATGTTTGTACTGGAAGAGAGAATGGGAGGGGGTCGTCAAAAATTGTACTGGTAAAAAATGGGTCCCTTGGGAAAAAGGTTGATAACCACTGTACTAAGGCATTCCGTGGCCAGCTGAGAAACATAGTCCCTCCAGCGTGTCCTGGGTCTTCCTTTGGGTCTCCTCCTGGTTGGACGTGCCCAGAACACCAGGGAGGTATCCAAGATTCCCGAGCCACCTCATCTGGCTCCTCTTGATGTGGATGATGACCAAGCTTCTAACCCTAGCTCTAAGGGAGAGTCCAGACACCCTGCATAGAAAATCCATTTCGGTCACCTGCATCCGTGATCTCGTTCTTTCTGTCACTACCCAAAGCTCATGACCATAGGTGAGGGTAGGAACGTAGATTGACCGGTAAACCGAGAGCTTTGCCTTCTGGCTCAACTCTCTCTACACCACGGCAGATCGGTACAACACCCTCATCAATGCAGATGCAGCACCAATCCACCTGTTGCTCTCACGCTCCATCTTACCCTCACTGGTGAACAAGACCCAGAGTTACTCAAACTCCTCCCCCTGAGGCAGGACCCCATCTCTGACCTGGAGAAGGCATTCTACCATTTTCCGACTTAAGACCATGGTCTCGGATTTAGAGGAGCTGATTCTCATCCCAGCCACTTCACACTCGGCCGTGAACCACTCCTGTGAGCACTGGAGATCACGTTCTGATGAAGCCAACAGGACTACATCGTCTGCAAAAAGCAGAGACCCGATCGTTAGACCACCAAAACACCTTGGCTGTTCAAGGGCAGCCTTGGCAGTGGTAAAGGAGTGAACCACATTTTTAAAACGATTGTACTTGTCTTTGATTTTTATTTCTTGTGGGAAAATAAACAAAGTGTCTTTTTTTTTTGCTGCTGATCCTTCCCTAGATACAACTGAGTTGGAGATTGGAGCTACTGGAACATTGGAGGCCGACTAAATTGGACTGATAGTGGATCAATGGGTCAGTGAAACAGGATGTGGATATTTTCTGTTACATAAGTGCAACTACTGGAGCCAGAGATTCAAATCAATACGTTTTATTTAGGTCCGTGTTTCTAAAAATAAACCTTTATCCAATCAGAAAAATGAGTGGACAATTAAGTTAAAGAACTCTTCTGCAGATAAATGAATTATAAAATAATTATCTGCTGACAGAAGCTCACCTCTTCTGAATGAGTCCCAACTTTTTCTGCTATCTATTGCATTAAAGCATCAACTCCATGAGTAATTACTTTTAGAAAACATCTAAAGCTTAAAATGCAGCTGATCTGTTTGTTTTCAGCTCCCAAAGCTCAAAAATCACAAAGCTGTACAAACATCTGTCAGTGTGAGCAAATATCCTCTGGCAAAATGTCGAACTAATACCAGCTTTCATCCCATCCACAACAAAGATTAGTAAACTTTAATTATGCCTGGATCTATTTGTTTTTTTCCATCTGACACGATGGATGTTTGATTGTATTAATACACAACGAGTTAGCCCTCTGGGAAAACACACACAACCTTAAACACACCCCTAAAATCACCGATTTCAATCAGGCGGTGGTGCAGTATGGGTCCGAGTGCAGAGCTCCGGAAAGTTCAAGCAAGGAATCTATTTTATCCCCACTCCCCATGCAGATTGTCATAAAGTTAAAGAAATTGCATGAGCCAGACAGGAAGTAAGAGGTTTTTCATCAAGATACATCTGGTGTATTTCAAAATAAAGCCTGTGTTGTATTAACTTTAATGTTTATTTTTGTTTTATTTTTAACGACAGGGATATCAGCTTACAGTGTGTGATAGTTGACATTATTTGGTATGTTTTTTAAAGTATTGTGTTAGATTTCTAATCAGCTGTGGGAGCAGATTTCACACACGAACACGAACTTGAGTCTGCAGTGTGAACGGCAGTCCGTCCAGAAGCCGCATCCATTCTGAACGCGGTGTATAACAGGCTAGAGGCCGACCGATATATCAGGCCGATATGTTCAGTTTTTTCTACATTGGCCAAAATTATTTTCAAAAGCCGATAAAAAAAATAATAAATTAAAAAATTAAAAAAGACAAAAATGTATATATATATATATATATATATATATATATATATATATATATGTGTGTGTGTGTGTGTGTGTATGTATGTATGTATATATACATATATGTATATATATATATATATATATATATATATATGTGTGTGTGTGTGTATGTATGTATGTATATATACATATATATATATATATATATATATATATATATATATATATATATATACATATGTGTGTATGTGTATGTATATATACATATATGTATATATATATATATATATATATATATATATATATATGTGTATGTATATATATATATATATATATATATATATATATATATATATATATATATATATATATATATATCTGGCATCTTTTTCATTGTTTCCACCTAAGGGAATGTTCCATCCCTAAGTAAAATTTTGTCTGTTAGATTTCCCAGAGTTTGATAAGTGAGAAAAAGGATTTTGCAGCTACCAAGCTCAGTCATTCTCCTAATCTGGAAGCAGTGAGTTTTGCTTTAGCTTAGCATAAAACAATGTAAGTAAAAGCCAGCCGCTGTTTCACACCATTATTCTGGGTACTGTTTTGGCGCTTACACATTAGCGTCGGTACGGTCGGGCTGGATGGCGTGAGTTCAGTCTCGAACGGGCGGTGTAGTGTTCACATATAAATCCGAGGGACTTCTCAGGAATGTGGAAATTCCCGAGCCTGTGGGCGCCGTTTAATATGTGCGGAAAAGTCTGCGGTGTCCTCCATTATAAGGTAAGCAAAGGCGGGCATGAGCTGCTGCTTTTGGAGACTCAGAACAACATTATTTTATTCATTTGCTGTGTGTGTCCCTATATTTCGATGGTGTGTCCACATAATCTTGTGCCACACACACACATTGATTTCTCCCCTGAGCCAGGGCAAGAGCTCCGATGCAGAGAACAGGCACACACACACACACACACACACACACACACACACACACACACACGCACGCACGCACGCACGCACGCACGCACGCACGCACACACACACACACACACACACACACACACACACACTTCAATAAATATTAAGAGATTTATTGACATTTAATTTAATTTGCACACAGTGAGTGTTCAGTTGTCTTTCACAATCAATGTGCTGCTAAAACGTACAAGAATCAGCCTTAATAATCGGCTTTAGATATCAGCCTTCAGCAACAAAATTTAAAAATCAGTATCAGCATCGGCCTACTATCGGTCGACATCTAAAAAAGGCTTTATAAACACACTCCTAATGCAGTAGAGGTCACTAATCTGGAGGAATTTTCTGGTACATCTGGTTTTACTCTCTGAGACTTTCCGACAAGAAAAAAAAACTGAGGTCAGAGGTCACAGTCAGGAATACTCAGACCTCAGCCCCAATCTCTTCATCGGATTTATAAGTTCTCCTCATGTCAAACCTGCTTACAAACACATGAGGTACACACACACACACACACACACACACACACACACACACACACACACACACACACACACACACACACACACACACAGTTTCTCATTTCTCTATAACGTCACCACGATGAACCAAAGCTACATAACAAGGACCTTTATTCTATTGTTTTTCTGCTTGGTTCAGATGACAGTCGGTGTGAAAGTCAAGCAATTCCATCTGTCTGACTTCCACAGATTC